TTGTATGAGGATCACGATTTCATCTTTTCAAAAATATGGTTTAACAGAACAATGAAGTTAGCTGACCATGGTTAATAAAACTATACAGGCCCAGCCGGTGTGGCTCAGTGGTTGAGTGGTTGACCCATGAACCAGGAGATCACAGTTGGATTCCTGGTCAGGGCACATGACCAGGTTGTAGGCTCAATTCCCAGTGGGGGGCGTGCAGGAGGCAGCTGGATGATTCTCTCTGATGTTTCTATCTCTTTCTCCTCCCTTTCTCTCTCTGAAATCAATAAAAACATATTTTAAAAAAATAAACATACAGGCTTCAAGTGTACAACTCAAAACATCATCTGCACACTGCATTGTGTGCTCACCACCCAAAGTCAAGTCTCTTTTTGTCCCCAATTATCCCCCTTTGCCAACTTCTACCTCCTCCACACCCCAACATCCCTTTTTAAAAATATTTTTTTTAATTTTAGAGAGGAAGGGAGAGAGAGAGAGAAAAAAAAACATCAATGACGAGAATCATCAATTGGCTGCCTCCTGCACGCCCCCTACTGGGGATCAAGCCCAGAACCCAGGCATGTGCCCTTGACCGGAATCGAACCCAGGACCCTTCAGTCTGCAGGCCGAAGCTCTATCCACAGAGCCAACCCAACTAGGGCCCCCCAACATCCCTTTATTTTTAAAGACCCAATTTGGGAACCCTGATAGATGTTTAAGTATGATTATAGCTGAAATGCCAAACTGGACTAAGGTTACTGCAGCCATCCAGAAAAGCATCACTCCTGATTTTATGTCCCTCATTCCTGTCTACCAATCTGAGAAGGAAGGAGAGTGATCGAGTTTAAGAAGGGGGGTCTATTTAGAAAGAGGTGGCACATACCCACATAAACTCATTGATAATTACCATAAGTCTGTGGGAAGGGAAGGACAGGTACTACAGCCATTTTTTTAAATTATGGTACAAAAAATAACACTCACCATGTTTAAGTGTACAGATCAGTTAGTATATATTGTTGTACAACAGATCTTCCAGAACATTTTCATTTTGTAAATCTGAAACTGTACGCATTAAACAAGTCCCCATTTTCCCCTCCCCACAGATCCTGATAACCACCATTCTACTGCCTCTATCAATTTGAGTTCTTTAGATACCTCATGTAAGTAGAATCATACAGTATTTGTCCTTTTGTGACTAGCTTATTTCACTTAGCAAAATGTCCCCAAGGTTCATCCATGTTGTCAGAATTTCTTTCCTTTTCAAGCTGAATAATATTCCACTGTGTGTATACACCCCATTTTGTTTATTTATCCACTGATAGGCACTTAGGTTGCTTCCACCTCTTGGCTATTGAGAATAATGCTACAATGAACAGGGGTGTATAAATATCTCTTCGAGTCCTGTGTTCAATCCTCCCAGATATATACCCAGAAGTGATATTGCTAGACCACATAGTAATTTAATTTTTAATTTTTTAAAAAACTAAACCATTTCTACAATGAGAAAACCAGGCAAGTAACTGAACCCCAAAGTCACAAAGCAAAGAAGTCACCAGTTCTGTTCCCTTGCATCCTGGTCCTAAGCACAGTGCTCCTTCCACCACACTTCCACCCCAAGGCACTAAATCTGCTCTGTAATTAAATAAACATATACTGCAACTATAAACAGAAATAATACTCTGATAGTTTATCATCTTACCTATTATGCTGAAATTAATCACTGCTTCCTTCAAAAGTCTTACTGAGTCCCACAGAGCACTCTTGGGGGAAAAATAAGTGAAATTCATGAGCATATAATACATACTTGCATATGAACAATCTCTAAGTGCTTAAATTTAAACAGAAATCAAACATGATTACCTCTGTACTATCTATATAAAAAGTTACACTCTGACTTCCTAGGTTGAAATCAATCCAAAATTTCTCTAATTTTTCATCTGCTGGTTTTCTCATCTGTAAGATATAATTTCAGCATAAATTATACACATCAGTACCATGTCAAAGGGTCAAATGAAAAAATTTCCATTAAAAACATAAGTGTTTAATACCACCCTAATATTACAGGGTATCTCTTTATTTCCTTACTCATTTCTGCAAACAAAAGGAAGGTCACAATTTTATACAACTAAACTATTTATGGAAAAAAACACCACTATCCTTAACTATTTAATATATGTTCAAATGTGTCAGAGGATTCTGTCCACACAAACTTTTTCATGTATCGGGCGTGTGTAGAATATCTACGTGTCGTGTTACATTGACTGCATATGGATGGGATGGGAACTTCTATCAAAGGAAGTACTGTGGTCAAATATAAGTGGTTACTCACCCTCTAACTTACCATCTACAGTGGGGCCTTGACTTACGAGTTTAATTCGTTCTGAGACCAAGCTCATTAAAGAGCTCGTTAAGGAGCTCGTTAACTCAAATTACTCTACCAACTCAATGCAAAAAATCGGCGGAGAGACAGCTGGTATCTCAAAAAAACTCGTTAGTCGGGATACTCATAAGTCAAGGCCCCACTGTATTAGAATAGAGCTAAGACCTAAAGATTTCAAATTATCTTCATTTTAGTTATTATAAAGTAAATATATGCTTATAGTAAAAAGAGTCAACAGGAGAACCAAGATGACGGCATAGGTAAACGCCTGTACTTGCTGCCTCCCACAACCACATCAAAATTACAACTAAAATACAGAACAAAATCACAACTATCATCCAGAACCATGGGAAAGCTGGCTGAGTGGAAGTACTACAATGAGAGAAGTAAAGAAGAAAGCACACTGAGACTGGTAGGAGGTGCGGAGGCCCAGATCAGGCTGGTCCGGCACCTGGGTGTGCCGCTTTTATAATCCGGAGGGAGATTGCCTCTGCAGAGGCTACACGGAGGAGCGAGGGGTCCCAGCCCCACACCAGACCCCCAGCCAGGGTCCCAGAGCTGGGGAAAGAAGTCCCTACAGGCAATAAGAACTACGAACTGTAAAAACCAGTGTGGACTGGGGCTGAGTGACACACAGGCTGCTAGAGACCCAGCTGCTCCTCTTACAAGGCCAGCACCATGAACTGAATTTACAAGCTCCCACTCCCTCTGAGCTCCAGTGCCGGGGTAGGATCTGGGGGAACCAAACACATACGGGGAGAAACTGGACTGTCTGCAGGAACTCAGGGGCGGCATTCTTCCAGACGGAGATGCTCCCAGAGGTCATTATTCCTGTGCTGGGACCTCCCTGGTGCAGGGCTGACGGGCAGCCATTTCTATTTGCTCTGACCTGGTGATTCCCTGAGACCCCGCCCCACCCAATTTACAACCCCACCCAAGCTGTGCACAGCGGCCTTTGCATATGAATGGTCTGTCCTTTCTGAGGCTAAAACTCTGTCAAATAAGCTGCAGCTGGGTCAGGGAGCTCCAAAGCCATCAATAAAAGGTCCAAGACCCAGCACCAACCTGCCTTGCTTCACAGCTGGGCCTCGTCTGGGCACTTCCAAACCTGATACAAAGAGGAGGAATCTCAGATCTCTCTGTAGCTCCTGCTGGATGGCCCAGGCAGTGGCTGACTTTGCACCTCCCTGGAGACCCAAGAGCCAGTGTACTAGTGGTCAGTGTGAGACCATACCAGATTATAACCCTTCACATCCATAAGCGACACACTGAAGGGGCAGACTCAGTGAGCACCAAAGCCCCACTGAAGCAAGTCTTGCTCCATAAGGGTGTCTCCTGCACAGCAACTCTCCCACTGTAGTCGCAGCTGGTCCCCACAGCCAATTGGCCTGGAGATCAGTTCCTCCCAGTGACACCAACAGCAATCAAGGCTCAACTACAACAAGACTGTGCACAAAGCCCACAAAGGGGTGCACCAAGAGTGTCCACCTCAGGTGACTAGGGAGGCTGAGCCACTGGGCCCTACAGGACACCTACCACACAAGGGCACTCTATAAACTCAAGGAGACTTAGCAGCTACCCAACACATAGAAACAAACACAGGGAAGCAGCCAAAATGCAGAGACAACAAAACATGTCACAAATGAAAGAAATGGAAGAAAGCAAACTACTGGATATAGAGTTCAAAACCACAGTTATACAGTTACTCAAGAATCTTCTAGAAACCTTCGAGGAACTTAGTGAGACTTTCAAGGATCTTAATGAGAATGCCAAAAAAATGGAAAAGGACCAGTCAGAAATTAAGCATACACTGACTGAAATAAAGAATAATATACAGGGATTCAATAGATTAGAGGATCCTGAGAATCAAATCAATGATTTGAAATATGAAGGAGCAAAAAACACCCAACCAGAAGAGCAAAAGGAAAAAAGAATCCAAAAATATGAAGACAGTGTAAGGAGCCTCTGGGACAACTTCAAGCATACCAACATCCGAATTATGGGGGTGCCAGAAGAAGGGAGAGAGCAAGATACTGAGAACCTATTTGAAGAAATAATAACAGAAAACTTCCCCCTACCTGGTGAAAGAAATAGAGCTACAAGTCCAGGAAGCGCAGAGAACCCCAAACAAGAGGAATCCAAAGAGGACCACACCAAGACACATCATAATTAAAATGCCAAGGGCAAAAGACAAAGAGAGAATCTTAAAAGCAGCAAGAGAAAAACAGTTAGTTACTGTGCCAAGCCAGCTCAGCCAAGGGTTCGAAAGCCTGAGTGAGGGCGGCGAATGGATGAAGAAAAGACAGACAAAGAGAATAAGCTGGGTCTAGGTCAGTGATGGCAAACCTATGACACGCGAACTCATTTTTTTGGTTGATTTTTCTTTGTTAAATGGCATTTAAATATATAAAATAAATGTCAAAAATATAAGTCTTTGTTTTACTATGGTTTCAAATATCAAAAAAATTCTGTATGTGACACGGCACCAGAGTTAAGTTAGGGTTTTTCAAAATGCTGACACGCCAAGCTCAAACGGTTCGCCATCACCGGTCTAGGTGGATCTTCCTGTGCCTGGCTGAGGCCACAGAGAGAGATCCAGAGGCAAGCTGAGCCTTTATTTTATAGTCAGAGGTAAACAAGGTAGTGGTTACCATAGTTACACTATTCTTGTGAGTTTCACTTGTTTTGGCAGCACTTGCTGCACCTCCCACAGCCCATTAGCTACCTAGGAAGGATCTAGGGAGCGTTATAAGGTCAAGCCTAATTATGCTAAGAGGACTGTGTCCTCTAAGCTGGGACTTGTTTGTGGCTTTGCCAACAGGTCAGTCCGAGGCTTAACCCTATAGCCGCGCCCTACAAGTTACCTAGAAGGGAGTGCCCATATGACTGTCAGCTGATTTCTCAACAGAAACTATGCAAGCCAGAAGGGAGTGGCAAGAAATATTCAAAGTGATGAATAGCAAGAACCTACAACCAAGATTACTCTACCCAGCAAAGCTATCATTTAGAATTGAAGGTCAGATAAAGAGCTTCACAGACAAGAAAAAGCTAAACACCACCAAACCAGTATTATATGAAATGCTGAAGGGTATTCTTTAAAAAGAGGAAGAAGAAGAAAAAAGATAAAAAATATGAACAAAGTGACAACAAATACATATCTATCAACAACTGAATCTAAAAATCAAATGAATAAAAAATCTGATGAATAAAGTGGTGAATGGAATAGAATCAAGGGCATGGAAATGGAAGACTGATGATTCTCAGAGAAGAGAGGGTGTGGTGGGGGTGCGGGAAGAGATTAGAAAAAGATCTTATATGCATGTAAGCATTACATATGGATATAGACAATAGGGTGGCAATAGCCTGGTGTGGGGTGGGAACCAGGTGGAGGAAAGCTATGGCGGGGGGGGGGGGGGGAGAAGATGGGCATCTGTAATAATATCAACAATAACGATTAAAAATAAAAATCTATGAAGACCAAAAGGAAACAACACAAAAGGAAGAAAAAAAAGAGTCAAACAGTATAGTGTTTATATAGAAACAGCAAATATCTCCTTCTCTGCCACCCCCGACTTCCCAGAGGTACCTTCACTTAGGCACCATTAACAATGCCTTTGTTTTCTCCCAGACGTATTGTAGACATGTATCAGGAAATATAATTTTTATTCTACAACAATGAAGCGCACACTAGACTTACCATTGTACCACCTGGTTTTCCAATAAACAGTATTTCTTGGACACCCTTTCATCACATATACCTACTTTCTGATAGCTAGAGAGTTAAAATAAAGGTTTTAACCCACAATGTATGTTACTAGAAGCCAGTGTAAGAGCCCTGATTATAGTTGATGGAAATTCTGAAGTCCAAGAAAGAAGAACCAAACAGAGATTAGATTCCCCAGACAATTAGAAGGAAAAATAGAATTTAGATACAGAAGTCAGGCTACCAAAACCAGTTCTAGAGAGAAATTTGTAGTGTAGTCATGAGTTACAGATGCAGTTCACATAGGCCAAGAAAGGGGTTCTGAACCCAAAACAAAGAAATGGTTAATTAGGACATTCTGAAGACATGGTCCAGGAAACCCCCGATAGAGTCAAGGGTCAGATACCTTTAAAGATTTTATGCCAAAATTGAGATGTTGCAGGGTGGGGCACCTTAACTATGAAGGACCTTGGAAATCAAAGGAAGGAGTAAAATGAGGCTGCTCAATTTTGGATTGTAAAGTACAAAATAAAATTATTTAGAAAAAAAGAAAAGTGTCCCCAATTTGCTGGAGATGGAGTAAGAAGCATCAACTGTGTGAAGAAGCAAAATAGTTGCTCTTTTCTCTTTTATCCAGACATGAATAATGTTAACTACTAACAGAGTAAAATAAGGCTAGGTTCCTGTAATTGAGCTCATGAACACATATACACCCTAAAATGTCTTGATCTAATAACAGCAGGACACTTAAACTTACCGGTAATGCCCCGCAGTTACAGTATGAGAGAAGACAGGGAAAGGGGGCAATAAGCTTCAGAGTTGAGACCTCGCTACAAGAAGTGAGCTTCCTTTTTAAAGAGCCCTCCTGAGTAGTAAGAGCAGCGTGACTAAGTAAACCAAATCATGGGTTTCATTACACACCACCCTCACAGCCCCCAAGAAATACAAACATACCTCATGCCAATCAGCAAAAGCGGCAATACATGGGAATGAATAGACCCTGTAAAACACTTCACAATTAAAAAGGTAATAATATGGATGCAACCCATGCACCACCTACAGATGTTCTACAAACAAGCATTTATAACTAGGGGATGCCATCAAGTCTCTTGGTACAAAGTATGGAAGAGGACCTTAAACCTGCGAGTGGAGATCCATTGTGGCTAGATTTCAAGTCTCCATCTGTTAGCCTACAAGCCAGGTTTACCAGTACTATATCTCTGCTCAGTCACTTGGCAAAATCCCCCAATGAAAGGAGTGAATTTAGCAAATATCTTTTCATCACGTACTTTACTGTCCATAATACACCTCTCCCTAGTGGCCTCAAGTCTGTAGGGGATCACTCTTCATAAAATCTTCCCAAAGAACGTAATGTTAAAAATACTCCAAATCATAAATATGCTAAAAGACTGATAGAGATTATTTTTCAAAACACAAATGAATCAATAGGGAGGATGTGTCTAATCTTCTGAGGTTTCTACTCAATAACTCTGTAGTACTCAATAAATTATGTATCCTATATTCTGTCCTAAAATAAAATAAAATAAATCCTAGATTATTTTTTTACATTAGACATTTTCAAATACATTTAGCCAATAAAATAATGCTCAGAGAAACATCTTACCTTCTTTGGTCACCAAGTCTGTTGTTTAGGTAATTGAGAAACAGCCTACTGTCCTTCAAAGTAAATAATGCAAGTTTTTTAATAGAACACCAAGATGTCTTAGTTAAATAGTACTACTCTCACCAGCATGTAAGGGCCAGTGTTTGCCTCTAAATTTCCAGGATCTAGTAATATCACAAGGCTTCAGAAGGATTCATTATTATGTGCTAACTAAAATAATACTTTGTGTCACAAAGAGGAGGCTCCCGACATATGTTCTAGAAGGAGTCCCCCAGCCAGGAGATTTTCAGCTGAGGAATGTGTAGGTCTCCGAAAGTTATATGCGCAATTACATTTCTCCTGGTTAAAAGAGTAGTAATAGAAATACATCTTACTGATGAGCTGTACTACAATATGTGATTAACCCACTGGGCATCCATTTCCCTAACATCTGCCCAGCACAAGCCAACCACAAACCCATAAAACTTACTGACTTTGGGTTTACCTGGGTATATTATCACCTGCCAATTTTCCTTATCCAGAATACTCTTTCCTGCTACTTCTGAGTTTTCTCTCCCAGTATATGTTCTAAGAATAAAGAATATTTTTTAGAGTTCTCCTGTCCAACAGCTATTAGGAAGGTAAATGTTTTGCCTCCAAAATTCAAAAGCCAAAGAGACTCTGATCCAGGCATTTTGTCCCTTTTGTCAAAGTGAAGACTGGCTGTTGTCTTCAGTCCTTACCCTCTGTCTATATTCAGCACGAAATAGACAACGGTAATCTAAGCCTTCATATAAAAACAGTTCAATTAAGAAGTTGATGGCTCTGGAGTGGGGGGTATGACTTGAAAACCAAGGTAATTACTTTTGTCTTATTTTCATCTAATTTCCATGCAGATGAGGGCATGACACATCTGAGTGTCCACAACATGCCTAGCACTTTCATTTTCTCTCATTTAATTCTCTAAATATTGAGATCAGTTTCATTTTCATTTTACAGATGAAGACACTCAGGTTTCTCCTAAATCAACTTGCCAAAATGCAAGCATCAAAATACATATAAATCAGGAAGGTTGGACTCCCGGGGCTCATGGTGTTTCTATACAGATCAAACTAAATCCTGACTATTGCAGATCTTGCCATAGGCTCAAAGTCAAATATAATATATTTAATTATATATTTAAAAGTTTAGATTTAACAGAATCCTAATTGCATAGCCATTTACCAAAAAGCTTTTGTTCAACATGAATACAGCTACAAAGAATTTTACCTATTCTGCCCTGGCTGGTGTGGTCAGTGGTTAGAGTGCCAGCCCAAGAACTGAAAGGTCTCAGTTTCAATTCCAGGTCAAGGATACATACCTAGGTTGTCATTAACTTCCTGCACCCCCAGCCCCAGTCAGGGCACATGAGGGAGGGAGGCAACTAATCAATTTGTCTCTCTCACATTTCTTTCTCTCTGTCTCTCCTCTCTCTCTCTCTCTCTCTCTCTCTCTCTCTCTCTCTCTCTCTCGCTCCCCCCCCCACCCTTCCACTCTCTCTAAAAATCAATGGATAACGTATCTTCAGGTGAGAATTAACAACAAGAAAAATAAATATAGATTAAACAGAATTTTGAGGACCAGGAATCGCACCGTTTCAAATTCTTGTTCCTTAATTTTTTTGAAAGCTTCAGCAATGACATCATCCTCAAACCACTGATGGACAAGGTCATCCCTTGATTTTTTAGTTGTCAGTCTACACAATGCTTCAGAAAGAGCAACCTGCTGGCCATAATCTAGAGATTAAAAACATGGCAGACATGGGTAATTCTGGGCTCAAAGCAAAAAAAGAAATGAGTTCCAAAGATTAGCACTTGCTCTAAGAAATTCCATCTTAGAAGCCTAGCATCGTCTTATAAGCAGCAAGATGTATCCTGGAGTAATTACAATCATTTAAATTCAATATTTAAGAAATAGTAGGAGAAAATCTAAACAGTAGGTCAGCACATAACAATTTTAAATAAATATATTTGCATTTTATATTACATATATTAAACATTCATCAAAAGCAGCTCATCAAATAGCCTTTAAAAATACTTCTACTACAAAGATTAAATTTCAAGACTGATTGTGGAATTTCACAGCAGATTAATAAAAACTACACATATCAACATGTTTAAATCTCAAATAATTCTAAGGATAAAAAGAAAGTTGCAGCTGTATATGTACCTCAGGATGAGATTTAGAAAATGCTTTTAAAATTGCAAAACAATAATGTATGTTGCTTTTAAATACATAATGAAAAAGTAAAACAATATACTTAGGAATGAAAAACAAATCCAAGTCAAGGATTACCTCCACCAATGAAGAGGGGATTGGGAACAGTGACATGGACCCAGATTTAGTTTTAAAAATATTGAAATAAATGTGGCAAAATGATAATATTTGATAAAGCTGGTTGGTGAGTTAATGAGCATTCTTTAATTATTCTTTATGGTTTTTAGCATGCTGAAGTTTCTCAGTAAATGAAAAACAAAATCCTAATTCTTATTTTCAATTTGGCCATAATTTATTCCCCATAGTTTCAAGATGCTTAAAAAAAACAAACCAATGTCCAATATTTAATATTCTTATATTTAAAATTCTAAACATTTCTTACCACCCACAGTCAAGATTGTTCTTGCAAAATCTTTCCTGAAAAACATTTAGATAAACTGCATTTTACAGATATGAATATAAGTAGGCAAAACTTCACTCTATTGACATTAGAATTTAAAACCAAGATTTATGTTTTTGAAATTATTTATTTCAATTTAGCATCAGCATTTTCTCAATGTCAAAAATAGATTTTTATGACAATCTTTCTCAAATTTGTATATTAATGACTTAAATGTACATTTTTTAAGACACACACACACACACACACACACACCGCTGCAGTTCTAGTTCTCCTTCTGATCTCTGAGGATTCATCAAATGTTAAGATTCTGGAATTTTATAATCATCTCACCAACCTGGTGAGGATGTGTGCCCTTTTTTTAACATAGTTTAACATCTGTAAGAAATATTAACAACAGGTGCTGTGAGTCTTTCCAGTGAGTTTTTTGAACTTATTTTTAAAACTGATTATATTACAGGTATAGTGGGATTAAGTTATTACAGTATTGTAACTAACACAGACTCCCATATTATACACAGAGTGCCCCCAACTTATAATGGTTTGACTTATATATTTTCGACCCACAATGGTGCAAAAACCATATGCATAATAAGTAACATGATATAGTCAACATTTTATTATAAAATAGGCTTTGTGTTAGATGACTGTTCCCAACTTTAGACTACATAAGTGTTCTAAGCACACCTAAGGTCGGCTAGGCTCAGCTATGATGATAGTAGGTTAGATACAGTCAATTCATTTTCAACTAATAATATTTCCAATTTATGATGTGCTTACTGGGAAATAACCCCATTGCAAGTAGAAGAGCATCTGTATTTAACCATTTTAATTAAATGCTAACAAGTGTGATGTAGACTTTTTTTAATGTTTGAAATAACTCTTGTTTTAAAGAACAGATTTGTTAAGAAATCTTGGAGTACTTCAGTTTCTCATAATAAATGATTGATTTGTTACTATTAAATAAAAGCCTTAAAACAGCACCACTGAGAGTTCTGCTTAATTTTACACTTGCATATTTTACTGTAACCTAGAATACTCCAAACTTTCTGGAACACACAAACAATAAGTGAGGAAGGACCACAGGATTAGACTGAAAGCTTAGGAGAAAAATTCAGTCAGCTCCAAACCCAGAACCTCCTGATCAGTTTGATGGATATTAATAAACTGTGATTTTATAATAACATCGTCACCTGCAGTTACTGTTTACAAAACTGCTTTTACCTTAAACTTTGTAGATGCTTACATTTTTTTGTTTGTTTGTTTTAAGATGATGTTGGTAATTTGTGCATTTAACTCTGTTCAGAACAGAGCTAAAAGCATCGTTGTCTTCTTTCGGATTACACTCAGGGGTCTGACAGGTGGTTTGATTTTTTTTTTAACACACTTGTAAAAAGGTTGGAGTAACCAGACTTTTATATATAACTTGGTGATTATCAAAGTCTAAGTACACCACTAAGAATAATGATTGTGTCCTAGCCGGGTGGCTCAGTTGGTTGGAGCACTGTTTCCTGCACCTGAAGGTTTTGGGTTCCATCCTCAATCAGCACGCTTAAGGAGGCAACCATCAATGTTTCTCTCTTGCATCGAAGTTTCTCTCCCTCTCTTTCTCCCCCTTCCTCTCTCTCTAAATATATTTTTTATTTATTTCAGAAAGGGAGAGAGAGAAGCATCAATGATGAGAGAATCATTGATCAGCTGCCTCCTGCATGCCCCCTACTGGAAATAGAGCCCGCAACTTCGGCATGTGCCCTTGGCCGGAATCAAACTTGGGACCCTTCAGTCTGCAGGCTGACACTCTATCCACTGAGCCAAACTGGCGAGAGCTCTCTCTAAAAAATCAATTAGAATGTATCCTTGGGTGAGGATTTTTAAAAAAGAAGAATGATTTCCCTAATAAAGTGGTTCTCAACCTTCCTAATGCCGTGACCCTTTAATACAGTTCCTCATGTTGTGGTGACCCCCAATTTCATTATTACAAATTGAACATAATTAAAGCATAGTGATTAATCACAAAAACAATATGTAATTATATATGTGTTTTCCGATGGTCTTAGGCGACCCTTGTGAAAGGGTCGTTTGACCCCCAAAGGGGTCGTGACCCACAGGTTGAGAACTGCTGCCCTAATATATTCAATAAATATTTTTTAGGAAACCTTAGTGGAAAAACTGCATCCTGCAAAGACTAGCTAAATGGACAAACATTATAGCAATGAGCTCATGCTGACCAGTCACCTCTCCCAGGCCTACACTATGGTAAACCCGGTAGCCCTTCCTCACGCAGTCATGGGTGCTTGTCACATGAAGGCCTGCGTGCCACTGACGTCACCAATGCTAGTTAGTGGTTAGCTCACAGTCATAGGTCTAAGTTCAATTTCAAAACAGGGGCCGGTTTTGCTCTTTCCATGGTCACACATTACAACCTTCACTCCAAATTTCAATGTCCCCAAACTCATAATTGTGAGTGAGGCACCAAAATGCAAATATAAATTCCATGCCCTATTGGTATGTTAATAGTTGGTAACCTTGGTATATTTGTTCTCTACTAGGTAATGTGCTCATCACTTTCAATGGATTGCCTGATTCAACCAGTACATAACTGTCAATCAGGTATTAATGTTGGCTCCATTTTATAGGCAAGAAAACCGAGGTACAGTGAGGTTAAGACTGTGCTCTAGATAATGCAATGAGCATAAATGGCAAAATCAGGATCTGAAGCCAAGCAGTTTACCAGCTGGATCTGTACTCAACTGTGTCCCATGAGTAACTAGCAATTTAGTTCACAGTGACAGTGAAAAAATTATCTATAGCCCAAGAAAGCATTTTACCTCACAAACTTGATGGGGAAAAAATTATAAACCCATACTACTAAAAAACAAACACAAAAACAAAAAAATACTACAAAAAAACAAACAAAAAATCCATACTTCTAAAAACAAACAAATAAAAACAAAACAGCCCTAACTGGTTTGGCTCAGTGAATAGAGCATCAGCCTGGGGACTGAGGGTACCGGGTTTGATTCCTGTCAAGGGTACATGCCCAGGTTGTGGGCTTGATGATCCCTAGTGGGAGGTGTGCAGACGGCAGCTGATCAATGGTTCTCTCTCACTATTAATGTTTCTATCTCTCTCTCCCTCTCCCTTCTTCTCTGAAATCAATAAAAATATATTTTTTAAAAACCTGAGTTTTTAAAAATAAAAAAACAACACACACACCCACCCCATACTACTAAAAAAGAAAAGCTTAAAAAAGGCTAGTTTTTCCCTCAGTCCTTCTTCACTGCTTAGCATAGTGCCAGACTCATTATAAGTGCAAAGCATTTGCTGAAGGAAGGAATGAAGCGATCAGACCTGAGGAGAACAAAGAGAGATTTTGCCTGACATCATCACATAGTTGAGTTACAAGGTCACTTACATGAGATGACACCGATCTTCTGATGAGGGGAGTTTTCTCTCTTCCCAAGGTACAGCATGCAAAATGCTGTTCAAAGTCATCAAAGCCTGTTCAGAGTTGGAGAAAAGCATTCATAGGGAAGAAACAAAACAGGGACCAGGGCACAACCTTCTCCCAGGTTCCTACTTTGTTATCTGTTGTGTTATTTGCAACTTACCTCTTGTTGAATCAAATGATTTACTGTCTTTTCTGTCACCAGAAATCCTAAGGTAAACATGAAGGAATACAACATCTGAATTTTCCCTGAAAATATAATTTTAAAACAATCAAATGGATGCCGGAAAGTATAAGGAAATGCCTCCTACACTGCAGGAAGAGGCAAAGACTGGAAATTACATAGTCTGCGCAAGACACCTGCTTTGAGGTCTAGAAACCGCCAGGCCACGATACACTTCCACTGTGCAGACACCCACCAAGGAAAACAAGAGCAGCACATGCAAAGTGGGACTGTTGTGATATCACAGCTCAAACAAAGCCACTTTGGTCCAGACTGAGCCTGTGTAAAGGGCAGCTCCTGCACACAGTGTCCTCCTGCTTCTATGTGTTTCTTACATTTACATATTTTATAAAAATTAAAATTTTATTTTTTATTTTATGTTTTATTGATTTCAGAAAAGAAGTGAGAGGACAGATATAAACATTAATGATGAGAGAAATCATTGATCAGCTGCCTCCTGAACGCCCCACACTGGAGATTGAGCCTGCAACCCACGCATGTACCCTGACCGTGAATCAAACCATGACCTCCTGGTTCATAGGTCAACACTCAACCACTAAGCCACACCGCCTGGGCTAAAAATTAAAAATTTTAAAGGTCTTATGTTAACAGAAGCAGGAATTCTTTTTAAGTAAAGTGTTGACCTTTATTAAGTAGCATAATCACAGAAATGTCAACAACTATTTATATGTCGGTACATAGCTTATAAATGGTATATGGTAATACTCGATGTTTATTAAACAACTAGAGGCCCAGTGCATGGATTCGTGCACCGGTGGGGTCCCTCAGCCTGGCCTATGGGGATCAGGCCTAAACCAGCTCTCCAACATCCCCCAAGGGGTCTCGGATTGCTAGAGGGTGCAGGCCAGGCCAAGGGACCCCTAGTATGCATATGAGATCTTTAGTTAACCTTTTCTCACCCTCCCCGCTTCCCTCTGAAATTCATCAGTCTGTTCCATGTTTCCATGCCTGTGCATTGAGCATCTGCCCCCTGGTGGTCAGTGCACGTCATAGCTACCAGTTGAATGGTCAAACAGTTGCTTAGGCTTTTATATAGAGAGGTTATTTTTTATTTTATTTAAGCACATTCTGATAAGATATGAAATGACAGCAGTAGTGTACATTGCAAAAATGTATAGTAAGATCACAGTATTATTTTGATAGGTTCAGATGTGCAATTTTGATACATGAATTATTCATCACATATACTATTAAACTCCTATGTAACTCATGAAATTGTAGGAACCCAAACCAGAAAGCAGTACTTTAAAAGGTCCCTCTTCTGGCTAGTGTGGCTCAGTTGTTTGGGCATTGTCCCATGCACCAAAAGGCTGCGGGTTCAATTCCCAGTTGTAGGTAATTGCAGTTTTGCTCTCACATCAATTTTCTCTCTCTCCCCCTCTCCCTTCCTCTCTCTCTAAAAATCAATAGAAAAGTTTGTGTGTTTTTTAAAGATCCCTCTCCAGTCCCAAAAGAGCCAGATTAATACTGCTAGATAATCTCTGGAAACCAGATATATGGCTAGGGACTGTGGCAACAACTTGCCTATCAGCTTATAACTTGAGATGAAGATTCTAACAGAGCCCAGGTGGACAGCAGGGGACCTTAAAGATATTAATGGACCTTATTAGCAAATATCAGCTGTCATTAGATCTTTTCATTTAAAGGATAATAAAGAAAAACTAACAAATATAATGTTAGGGTTGCCAAAGGAGGAACGCATGAGGCCAAAAGGGGTAAAGAATTTTGAATTTATTAGGTCATCTCGATATCAGATGGGCTGAGCCTCAAAATGGCGCCAGCACCTGGGGACCGGGAGTCAGAGGTTTTAAAGGACTCTAGGCGGGCTTTTTCTGGGCGGAGAATTATCTGGGCGGGTTCTGAGGGGAAAGATAATGGTCTTAGCAAGTGGAATGTGGTCTTAGCAACTGAAATGTGGTCTAAGCAAAAGGGAATGTCAGTTGTGAAGTGGCCTAAAGGTCAGTTCCCAGGGGAGGGGATGTTGATTCAATTATTTGATCAGACCTAACATACTACCCACTGAAAAAGAAGAGAGGAGCACAGCAAGTCAAGAGGTAGCAGAAAAGTGACTTTTGAAAATATGCTTACTTCAAGAAACAAATTTTTTTTGAAGCATCTGAGTTATCATCTCAAACGAACACAGAATTCTATGAAATAAAAAATTAGATCTGCAAGAAAAGGCAACAGTCTAAGATGACCATAGAGAACACAGAAGTAAATGAGAAAGAAACATGTCATATGAAATTGAAGTTATTCTAGATATTTCAATCTGAGGGAACTTAATACAGGAAATTAATTACAAAAACAATGAAAGAAGCTAAGAAGTCAAATTGGAAACAGTGAGGTGGCCCAGAAATTAACATCATTAACATAATTACTAGCCCCCTCCCAGCTGCACCCTCCCCTAAAGTCACCTAGAGGAAGTGGGAGGTATTACCAGATCCCAAGAATCAAGGTCACCTAGCAAAAGCTCTAGTAACACGAATGGGCCAGAGCCACAGAGACTATGCAGACACTCCTGGAGGTGGCACTTCTGCAGAAGGGAGGGGAGAAATGCCTTCTCTGCTCCTTCCTGCTTCTAATTTCTTTCCTTTGGCTAAACCTAGCAGGCAGCCAGTTGGTAAGAAAACCTAGAAAAAATAGTTCTCTGTAATACAAAGTGTACTACAAAGGAAAGAGAGAGAGAGAAAGAGAGAGAGAGAAATGGATATAAAAGTAGAGGCAGATCACACCCACCACAGGAAGCAAAGATGTGATAGCAGAATTCAAGTCTGCACTGGAAGCAATGAGCAGAATTAGTTAAAGCAATGGCTTCCAAGAAAAACTTAAGAACTGCTTTCAAAATACACGGGGGGAAATGACAAAAAAATGATGCATATGAAGATAAAAAAGATGTAATGGATGAATAACAGATAATCTTACAGAGACTAGAATGGAAGGAGTAACTGTAATGGACTTTTTGGTGCCTTCCCATCATCCTTTCCCCTTCCTCTGTTATGCAGCAGTCTTTCTATGGGATGGGCGGACTTGCTTCAGGGGTGGATCCTGATTGGCTTAAGCTATGCTGGGACATCCCATTCATCTTTTCATAGTGGTTGGTTCATTAAGGGGGGCATCCCGTTAGAGTAAAGCTAGGGCTTTCCTTTGATGGTTGAAGAAAGAGAACGTTTCTTTCCCTGGACATGAACCTAGAAACACAAAGTGCTGGTTACTGGCCACCATCTAACAACCATCAAGGGAGACCAACTTGAAAGCAGACTCGAAACTCTAAGGAAGACGGAACTGAAAGAACTGCAGTGAATGGCACATAGCCACAACCAAACTTCTCCTGAAACTCCTGTCTCTGGACTTTAGCTCCTGTGCCTGTAATTTATCTTTATCATTCAAGCCTACTTGAACTAGATATTGTGACATATACCAAAAAACACTTTAACTCAGTGGTTTTCAACTAGAGATGATTTTTACCCCCACCTTCACCCAGGGAGGCACTTAGCAATTTTTGGAGATTTTTTTTAGCCTGTTACAACTGGGGAAGTGGGAGGGGCTGCTATTGGCATCTAGTGGATAAAGGCTATGGAAGCTGCCAAACATGCTAGATGTACAGGACAGCAATCACCCCAAAACAAAGAATTATCTGGCCCCAAATGGCAATACTATCAGAGTTGAGAAACGCTGCTCTAACTGATAAAGTTATCAAAGAATAAAATGTCCCAAAAGGAACAAGTAAGATTTGATTCAACATAACTCAAGAACCAGCTAAAACAAACTTGTTGCGTGTGCAATGCTCTCAACATTTAATATTAGAAGTCAATGAGAATCTGCAAAGCAAGAGTGTATAAAAGCCACATAGGCATTCTTAAACAATAAGACGCTCTGACTAGCCCTAACCGGTTTGGCTCAATGGATAGAGTGTCGGCCTGCAGACTGAAGGGTCCCGGGTTCAGTGACTTTTGAAAATATGCTTACTTCAGGAAACAAATTTTTTTTTGAAGCATCTGAGTTATCATCTCAAACCTCAAATGAACACAGAATTTTATGAAATAAAAAATTAGAATTTTATGAATCCCCAGTAGGAGGTCTGCAGGAAGCAGCTGATCGATGTTTCTAACTCTCTATCTCTCCCTCTTCCTCTCTGTAAAATATCAATAAAATATTTTTTTTAAAAAAAAGAAGCTCTGACTATATCCAACCCACACACCCCAATAACACTCTTCCAAATATATTATAGCAGATGGAGATAACACAGAACAATGAGGACATCACAGTATAAACAGGCTGGTAGTGACCCTAAGTAATTACTGTAAATAGAACTGCAGCACAAGGCAAAAAGCAAATACTGTTTACAAAGATATATCCATTATCCAAGCCTACAACCAAGATTAATCTAAATAAGTCCAGGTGAAAGATGGAGGAGGAATAAAAATTGAATTCCTTACTATATAGTAGAAAGAAAAAATACGGTGCTATAATTTTGATGTTGATAATTAGATTAAGAGTAATTATTTTATTTTTTTAATATATTTTATTGATTTTTCACAGAGAGAAAGGGAGAGGGATAGAGAGCTAGAAACATCGATGAGAGAGAAACATCGACCAGCTGCCTCCTGCACACTCCCCACTGGGGATGTGCCTGCAACCAAGGTACATGCCCTTGGCCGGAATCGAACCCGGGACCCTTGAGTCCACAGGCTGACGCTCTATCCACTGAGCCAAACTGGTCAGGGTGATTAAGAGTAATTAGATTAAGAGTATAATAAAACTCGAACATAAGCTATTCAAATCACTAGAGAGAAGCAAATTGTGAAAGAAAATATAACCCATATAGCAAAGCACAAAACAAAGGAATTATAAAATGGAACAATCCAGTAAGATGACATAAGTCTTGGAACAAAATGGAAAGAATAATTCTATCAATGGCAAGAGGATATGGGAATGTCAGTGAAAACATCTTTGTACTTCAAAGAAAGAGATTAGTTCCCAATTCTGTAGAGCCTGGACATAACAATTCCCTGGGCAAAATGACTGTCAGAGTTCACATGTGAAAATCTGACACTTGCAGATTTCACATGTGGCCAGAATGGGCTCCAAGCACAAACTGTCATTGCTATGGGTTTACATGTTTCCCCCAAAATTAATAGGTTGAAGCTCTAACCTGAATGTGATGGCATTTGAAATGGGCTCCTTAGAAAAGGTAAGTAGAACTAGATGCGGTCATGAGGGTGAGGTCCTCATGATGAAAGTAGTGCCTTTATAAGACAAGACACCAGAGAGTCGACTTGCTCTCTGCCATGTGAGGACACAGCAAGAAGGTGGCCATCTGCACTCCAGGAACAGAGTTCTCACCAGAAGCCAACATCCTGGCACCCTGATCTCAAACTTCCAGCTTCCAGAACTGTGAGAAAATAAATTTCTGTTGTGTAAGCCAATAAGTCTATGGTATTTTGTGATTGCAGCCAGGGATTATTAAAACAGTTAGTACATCTAAAGCAGTGTACTAACTAGATCTCTCTCATATGTATTTTTTTCCAAATATGCAGTGATATCCACTGCTGTAATAAAAGACAAATTTATTTTTAAATGTTACAAAATTCAAAGTAGTTTTACTGTTGTGTATTTCATCAATCAATTTTAAAGACAGTAACTATCACTTATGAAGTTCATAAAAAATTGGCTTGAAAGTATTTGGATCCACTGACTAGAATAGGGGGACCTTTTTATTGTTTTAATCAAGTAAACACCATATACCTAATCTTCTAGCATTGAATTTCCTCTCTTATGAGATACCATCCATTGTAGAATATAATATCAATTTAATAACAGCTTTTCAAAAGAAAAATAAGAAGTTAGACAATAGAAAGAGAACATATCCATTTTAAGATGGCCTCAATTTCTGAAATGTTCAAATATTTTAAGTGTGTTTGAATCCATAGTATCATAATTCAAGATATCCAATTACCTTTGAGTAAATGGAACAGAATTATCAGTATAACTTCCAAATATTCTAAAATTTTGCCTTTTACACTCTTGAAAGACAGAGAAGGTATCTGAATCAGCTCCAAGTCAAATCAGTAAGAGCTAAACTTTGTTGGTTCCTCCTGACAAAAGTGGCTCTCCAATCTGAATAGAGCAGGTAGCCAATGGGATAGGAGCAGCTAAATTAAGGTAGTCCTCAGGCTGAGGCGTACTTTACAACAAAACTCACTTCAACATCACATATGATGGTCAATAAATGCAAATATAACAGTTAAACCCACTTTACTTTTATATATCATTTAGATAAATATTCTCCCTATAACAGAATATTCTATTAATAAAAAGTAAATAGGCAATTAGTGGTAAATAATTCACTTACCTTTACTACTCCTCCTGGAAATAATCTAATAAAACGAGAAAAAGTAAAGCTTGTACTTAAAAAAAACATTATAAACTATAATGTTAATACATTAATGCTGACATTTCTCTAACAGGCAGAATTGACTTTAAATACAGTAGAAAAAAATTTAGAGAAATCCTATTTGATCTTCACTTTATTAAAAACAGCATATTGCTCTAGCTAG